ATAATTTTAAAACTATTTGTCTAAGAGTTATTTGTTTCTGGAGCTATTTTTCTTAGTATGTTTAGTTTTATAAGCATTCCTCTTTAAGAAGATGCATCATTTTCAGATGAATATCCCCTGCAACACTGATTTGCATATGTATAACATTCCCCCAAAGGGCCGTATAGCCCTCTGAACTTTAACACTTAAACTTAAAAAAAAAAAAACTTAAACTTTTTGTTTTTAATTGTTCCCAATTTCATACAGTTCCTTGAAATAAGGTTTTAGAAATAAATAATTATTAAAAAAAACTATCTTAAATAAAGATATGTAACTTACCCACAAAGAAGTCGGAAATGGCCAAGTTAAGAAGAAAATAATTACTTCGATGTCTAAGTTTTTTGTCCACCACAAAAGCTAAAATGACCACAGCATTTCCTAGCATTATAGCAAAAGCTACTAAGGTCATTAAAAATGCTAAAGTAATGCAAGTGCCTGGTGAGAAATTATTTGTATAATTAGTATCTAACATTATATCGAATGATGAGGAAGCTAATATATCAAATTAATCCACCAAGTCAGTTCTGGCAAGAATGTTTCCCAACTGATACCTAAAATATAAAGTCCCCTACTAAAACAACACTTTTAGAATCTGATGCTAATCTCATAGTACTTCCTGATTCTTATAAAGCAAACCTGTAGTAACAGTTTCCCTTTAACTGACAGTGAAAAAGTATTTCAAAAAACAAAAAAGTGAAGTGTTTTATCTTACACATTTTAATGTTATTCACTCATCCCCCATTAACAGAAAAATATTATGTAATATATAAAAAATATTATTAATACATTGTATATGTAATAACTGAGTTCAAATGAAATTCATTTTTTAAAATAATATAGATCCAATTAACTATTTCCTTCTGGCCATGAAGGAGTAACAGGGACTGGATTTACTGTCCCATTTGAAACAACAAAAAACTGGATGAAATATATGATACAATAATTTGTTTTGTTTTTTAATATTTTATTGTGTTTGAGGTGAAAGTTTACATAGCAAATTAGGTTCCCATTTAACAATTTTTATACATATTGTTCTGTGACATTGGTTACATTTTTCACAATGTGTCAGGATTCTCATTATTTCCATTCTGTTTGTTCCGTTTCCATTGATCTAGCTTCCCTGCCCCTCCTTGCCTTCTAATATTTGCTTTTAGGTAAATGTTGACCATTTGGTCCCACATAGTTGATTGTTTAGGGAGCACATTCCTCATGGGTGATATTGTTTATTTTACAAGCCAATCTATTATTTATCTCAAAGGTGACCTCCAGGAGTGGCTTCAGTTCCAAGTTCAAAGGGTATCTTAGGGTGATGGTCTCGGGGGTTCTAGCCTCTACTGGTCCAGTAAGTCTGGCCATTTTTAGGTTTAAATGCACCAGTCAAGAGACAGAGAGGGCAAAAATCAAGTTCATTAAAAAAAGACCAGACTTACTGTCCTGATAGAGGCTGGAGGAGCCCTTAAGGCTATGGTCTGAATACATCCCTCTGACTTGAAACTGCATCGATTCCTGGAAAGCACCTTCCAGCGAAGCAATACACAGACCTATAAAATAAACAAAAGCACCCAAAAAAAAGTTCTCCATAAAACAAACAATTATACGAAACAAAAAGGGCAACATTTGCCCTAAAGTAAAGATGAGAGGGAAGAGGTAGGAAAATCAAACGAAAGGAAAGAGGAAAGCAAGGGCGGAAATGAGGAGAGTGCTGACACAGTGTGGGGATTGCAACGAATGTCATGGAACACTTTGTGTACAATTTGTTGACTGAGAAGTTAAGCTTTCTGTAAACTTTCACCTAAAACACAATAAAATATTTTTTAATTATGCTAAGTGAAATAAACCAGACACACATACACAAAAGGAAAAAAAAAAGCAGATAGAGAGTGGCAGAGTGGATAAAAAAAAAAGACCTATCAATATGTTGCCTACAAGAGACACACTTTAGACACAAAGACATAAATAGAGTAAAAATCAAAGGATGGAAAAAATATATATCAAGAATCAGTAACCAAAAGACAGCAGGAGCAGCAATAACAATCTCTGATAAAATAGACTTTAAGTAAAAATCCATTAAAAGAGACAAAGAAGAGCATTATATGATTAAAGAATCAAACAACCAATAATAAATATTTACACACCCAATGACAGAGCTCCAAAATACATAAAATGAATTCCAACAGAATTGAAAAGGGAATTAGATAGTTCTACAATAACAGTAGGAGACTTTAACACACCACTTTCACTGATGGACAGAACAACTAGAAAGCAGCTCAACAAAGA